TTTTGTTTTTCCTGATTCTCTTTGTCTCTAAAAATGTTCTTTTTGTTGGTAGGGAGATGGTTTCGTATCTTGTCTGGCAAATAAAGTGATGTGCAAATGGGTGACTGCTCTGTGGAGCAGTGAGTGCCTGTATTCGGTTGGGACCGTGGCGGTTTGTGGGTGGTGGCTTTTTTTGTTGGTTTTGATGCGGTGCCGACAGTCGAACTGGGGGCTTTTGAAGTGTTTTCTCACTGCAGTGCGTTGCTGCTGAGTCGATTTTAATCTCAAGGAACTGAGGGAACAAGCCAGTTAAATATTTTACTTTTTATGCTAAGCTTGGTTTAGAGTCATGTCCCAGATTTAAAACAGAGTTGCCTTCAGCTCCAAATTATGTATAAAATTCTCTGGAGCCGTGTTTTGAAGCCAAAGCCGGGCTGCCCCTTATCTCTGGCTTGGTGGGAAAGCTGACCCCTCTGTGCCCGGCGGTGGGGGTCTGGGTGCCGTGCCCGTTCATCCCTGTCAGAGCCCACCTGCGGGAGACATGAGCCGGTGGTGGCCCGAATCTCCCCCGTCCCAGCCCCAAGGACCCCTGCCCTTGGATCCTCTCATAGCTTCCCCGTTTATCTCGCTTGCCAAATCTCTGTCCTGTTATTGAAAGCCATGAGTGAGGCAGGCTGGTGGCACCGAGATGCGCTTGGAGGCAGTTAAAAGTCACCAAAGGAGATATCGAGATACCACAGAAGAATAGTTTCTAGGAAGTTGCAAGTGCTTTGACCTAGCCGGGTGATTAAGGAGCTTAGGAAAGCGAGAGTCTCTCAAGCGTTGAAAATGTGCATTTGTGAAACAAACCCCAGGTTTCTCGGGACTCCGTCCAGGCCGTGGTCATCCTCTGCGGGCTCACGGGGGTGCATCGCTCAGCTCTCCCGAAGCCTGCGTGTCTCGGAGCTGTCACAGATCGCTGAAATCCTCCAGTGGTCCCTTCAGATACCGGGATTTTCTCTTTCTAGGCTTCTCTCTGTGTAGCTAAGTGTGAGCGCTGTGTTTGGGAAGGGAAGGGGAGGATTGGAGCACGCGTGACGTGCCGAGCATCGTGCTGCAGGATTCAGGCATTGCCGGAGGCGCAGGGGCCCCGGGGACGGCGCAGGGCTGCGTGCTCTGCCCTCGCCTGCCCACGGGGTTTAAATGTGAGTCTAAAGCAGCGGGTGACGGGGAGAGTCGGCCAGACAAGTGTCACTTCCCTCGGAGCATCTCCAGCGTCTGGGTACTTTGGAAAGAAAATGGCGCTTTCACTGACTGTCTGATTTAGACCTGGCTACATCTGGAATGAATGTCGGTTCTGAAGTTTGCTTTTGGAACAAAGTATGGAAAACGCAGGTGCTTCAAAAGTCAAAAGTTCCGAAAACATTTTCCATTTTGTTTACTTCTGAATGTTATGTTTGAGAACGGATGCTCTGTGGCAGAAATGGCCCAAGGGAATGAAGCAAAGTTTGCTTGCTGGACTGGGTAAGCCGTGGCAGCACGCAATGCTGTTTTCTAAACCAAATCTTGGAACTGAATTCCGAGTTTAGACTGAAAAACAAATGTTGCTTTTGTTTTCATATACTTTTTTGAAAGTTGAATTTGAGAGCTCTTGAGAAAATTGATCTTTTTCACGTAGTTGACTGATGTCCAGCGAGAACCTGAGTGTTTATAGAGATCATAGTAAACTTCAAGTAGCTGATGATAACAAAAAGAGGGCGGCAAATGGAGAAAAATAAAATGAAATGCTGTTTCGGGGCTTGAGGCGTTGGGAGCGATGGCGGGGATGCAGGTAGCTCCGTGCCTCCGGAGCACCAGCTCGGCCCAGCGAAAGGCTGGATGCTGAACCAGCGCAGCGGTTGGAGCCTTCGTGTGTTGCGAGAGCGAGTGGTGATGGGTTATGGCAAATAATCCCGGGCGAGCATCTCATTAAAGGCGTCTGTAATTGTTCCTGTTGGAGTGGACTTAGCCTGCTGCCATCTGCTAAGCAGATTCAGTTAAACGACGAGGGGTGGGAAGAATAAAGTACAGATGCTAATGCGCTGTGTAAACTGCAATGGGCAAGTTCTCCTAAATATTTAGACTATTTTTGTAAGTTTGTGGAGCTGATACTCTTGGGTTCCTTAGCTGCCTTTGGAGGTTGCCACTTAGCTCTTTTTAAGTTTTTCTTTGAGCTCTTTTAGTTTTTCTAACTAAAGTGAGATCACTTTTTAAGTTGGTGAAATACAGCAGGGAGATGTGTTTGGCTTCGGGTGAAATTCTTGAATTTCTTGGCACGGGAGTTGTTGACCAGGGAGCAGATATCTGGAGCGGTGGGGCTGTACCCAGCTGGGGCCGAGCAGTGACCGCGCAGCCCCGGGGAGCTCGGTGTGCGACGGCTCACGTTTCCCTGGGTGGTTTCTCAGTCCTTGCTTAGTTTTTACCGTTGGCTTCGGCTCTCTGTCTGTGACGGCAGTTTGGCCGACAGGCTCCTGCAGCCCCCCTCTGACATGCACGGAGCTTCTAATTAAAAATATAGAAGACACCGTAACGTTTGCAAGGACTCGGTGAAGTTATAAACCAAGTGAAAATACGTTACAAACCCTAGGCTGGTGGCCAGAGAAATTCCTGCCGGCACTGTGACTCTTCTAACCGTGTATAATGCTCTCTGGCGTTATTTTGAAGGTTCAGAAACACGGCTCCGCGTTGCAGGGGCGGAGGAAGGGGTCAGCTTTGTGCTCAGGACAGAAAGCTCCCTTCTCGGTAGCTGACAGTCTGTTTCCTCCCGGCTCCTTTTGATGTCTGGAGACTAAATGCTGCGCGGAGAGGAAAAATTCAATTCATTTAAAACATTTTGCATCAAAATGACATGCTTTAATGCCCCCTTCTTGGCTCTCTGAGATTGGTAAACTGAGGAGATTTATTTCTTCCCTTCCAAATGCTTCTTTAGAATTAAGAGTTCAAATTTCTGAAATTCCTCAAGTCCCCAGGGGGGAGAGGGATAAGGGAAAGTGATGACGGTAAGCGGAGCAGAGCACACCGAAGGGTTTTCCAGGCTGGTTTTGCCAGCTAGAGCTGCACACAGCCTTTCTAGGAGGCAATCAGCCAAACCTGCGTCAGGAAAACTCTTGGAGTCATGGGCCAACGAGTACACTGGATTTGGATAAAATTTAGACCTCTTTAGTAATTGCAGTTGTTATTGCTAATAATTTGGAGAGCTGGCTTGTGTTGCTGTAAACACGAGTCTTAGTAATTTCACAACTATCACGTCAAGGGAGGGACTCAACAGGGGCTTTGTGAATCGTTGTCCTTCGCCAGATGTGGCCGTGCCTACAGATGTTCGTGTTGATCTATTGTCATGCGTTTGACTTAGCACTGATAGACGTGGAATCTGCTCTGACAGTGAAATCCCAGCTCCACTGACAGAGAAAAATCCCATTGACTTTTTTTAATGCCACCTCCACCATCTCAGACAGTGTTCACCCTCCGTGTTCTTTCTGCTTACATAACTGATTTTTGGTATATCTGAAGTCATAAGATGTATTTCCCAGTCGTTTGCTCTTTTCCCTGCACCATGTGCAGAAGCTCTAGTAAATGTTGTGCAGGGTGCACCTTCAAAATCCCTCTTGGAACACCCGCTCCCATGGAGCAGCCAACGCAGCTCCTTTCCGACTCAGACGGGCTCTCTGGGCAGTTGTTTCTTCGTCTACATTTTACAAAAGTTACATCATGTATTTCTGGTTGTAAATACCCATGTTTGCCAGGGAGTGTCGGCATTTTAATAAGGATCTGCTTGGAAAATTGTTTCAGCTTCACCACTGACTGTGTTGCTTTTGTAGAGGTTGTTTGGTGGTGGGGAACTGACCACGTATGTGCTTGTGAAACCTGTGGACCCTCCCTGCCCTTTGGTCACCCTCAAGCTTGCAGGGTTTGCTCCACCCGAGCAGGAGGACAGGAAAAACCTAGAAGATCCTTCATAAAGTAACGGGCATTATTTTTCCTGTTTTCCAATGTATAACAAACTAAAGAACCTCAGTGTATTGATAATGAATAACCAAGAGTGTTCATGTTCTGCATGATACTGTTCTCTCAAACCTCAGTTGCTTTACACAGTCACTGCATATTGCTATTAAGACAGATAGCAAAGGAGTATTTTAGGGACACTCACAGGTTTTCCAGTGAGGATGGCCCCGCTGTCCCTAAGGGGAAAGCTGCCCTTGGAAATGAGAAATCTTGAAAGAGAAACTTCGGTGTATCAGGCAAACTCATCAGGAATGCTGTTGGTGTAACCCAGAATCCTTCCAACCTTATTTTTCAGTCTGAAAGCAGAATATTAACAAGGTGTTGAGTGGTTTTTCTTCCACGTAACCACAGTTAGTAAATGGGGACGGCGGTGTGGCTGTCCCCTGTGGAGGCACTCGCGTTTCACTGGGAACAGACAGGAAGCTCTCTCGGGAGAGGACACAGCTCTCCCACTTCTGTCTTCTGCTCCGTCCTTTTTTTGCCACTGCTGAGCTCAGTCTGGGTGTATCCAAAAGTGGGTCTCATTTTTCTGTTTTCCCGATACCAGATGTATCTAATTTGTCCCCACGGCCTCTCGAGTGTTAGTTGGAAAAAACAGATACTTTTGAAAATAGTTTTGTTGGGTTTAATGTTTAGTGTTGGAGAACAGTCAGAGTTTGTATGGGCAGAAGCTTTCAAATGTGAAACTTTTTTTTAGCACCTTTTTTGACTGTGAAGCATTCCTTTTTTTTTACAACCTTTTATGATTCTCACTCGATGAAGTTTTCTTTTCCTCAAAAACAACCCAGCCCAACCCCCTGCCCAAGCAGGGTCACCCACAGCCGGCTGCACAGCACCGCGTCCAGGCGGGGTTTGAATATCTCCAGAGAAGGAGACTCCACAGCCTCCCTGGGCAGCCTGTTCCCATTTCCTCACCCATTCACCTTTTGGAGCTGCTTTAACGTGACACGTATGACAAAACGTCTCTGACGCATCCTTTCTGATTTTTCTTGCAGAGAATATTCAACTCCTTTGTGTACACAGAGAAAATATCGAACGGAGAAAGTGAAGTTCAACAGGTGAGTCCGAAAGCCCCTTCCCACCTCCCGCTGCCAGTGTTACGAAGGCAGAGTCAGCTTAGAAATTACACTTTATCTGGATTTATTGTGGCCGCTTCCATCACGTCCAGCGCATCGGATAACAATAAATGGAATAGAATATAAATGGAGATGGGGTATACGGGCTGATCGGAGAGTTTTGCATTGCCATGAAAAGGCTTTCCATCTGCTTTGTGTGGGTCTGTCCCTTAGAAACAAAAGAGCAGAGGCAGAGCTGGGGCCCTCGTGTAGTGTCTGACATTAATTGACTGGGTTTTATGTTGGAAGTGTCTCTTTTTAAATTGTTTAATTCAAGGCAGAAACACCAATATTGTTTATGAATGTGGAAATGCTATCAATTGCTTTGTGTAAATACAGGGCAGCTACAGCCTCATGCAGAACAGTTGTGGTTGAGGGTTTTTTGTAATTTTGTGTGGGCTTTTCTTACGAGAACACGTTTGAACGTTTAACTCTTCAATTTAACATTGAGGTAGTGTATCTCAGCGCATGGGCTGCTTGCATTTTAATACATGCATACATTTGGAAAATTAATTTTGAATCCATTTTAAAACAGATCAAATAGATCTCGTTTTCTTCTGTAAGAAATTAAGGTAACAATTCTATATGCTCACAACTGCACCTTCGTGCTTGCTGAACGTGGTGAATTTTAGTGGAAGAGGCAGCTGCTGCCCGGCGCAGGCAGCCTGGGTGCCTGAGCAAAGAACTGGCATTTCCTTCCAGTTTAAGCATGGACTTGGCTGCACAGTGTTCAGCAAGTAACCAAACCTTCGTAGACCCCTATCAAGCCAGTTTTAGTGTTCAACAGAAGCAAAAGTGCCTCGGAGGAGCTCTCCCTGCGGAAAAGGGAATCGCTCTCCAGCCACGCAGGTAGCCTGATTGCACATGAGCTGCTGCTGCTGGTTTCCAAGAGCGTGGCAGTACATTGCGTGCTCGTGTGCGTTAAAACTGGTCATGTAATTTAAACAAATTACACTCTAAATTATGTGTTTACTGTATGTAGTAAAATTCCCAGACTTTTTTTTGTTGTTCCCAAGGAAAAAATCAAAGCAGAGCTGGATCAAATGGGATTATGAATCCCTGCACGCTGTATTTAAACTTGGGAAGGCTTTGCATTGGAGAGCAGGGCTCAACTCCTATTTCAGAAGAAATATGGTGGCTTTTGATGGGATTCTGGTCAATATAGTACCTAAACTGATTTGCAGAAAATTGAATAGTTCAGGAAAAGTTCCAAGACTGGATTTCTATTAAGCAAAACCCAAATCTTTAGTGTAGAAGCCTTGTCTCATATTGGCATTGAACTGAAGTGTGTAACTATATTAACAGGTAACTTTGATAAATAGAGGAGCACGTGATTAGGGACCTCGTATTTAAATTAGACTGTTAGATTGACATCCTACAAATTTTAAGATTAATCTCCTGTGTGGGGATTTTCTAAATATAAACCTCGCCATTTTTATGATAGCGCTCAAAGTTCACCTTTGGTACTGCTGGTGTCTGTGTTAGTTGTGTGTTTGGCGAGATACAGGTGGGTGTGGGAAGCAGCAGAAGAATCCAGAGCAATGCATTAATCCTGGTAAATTACACGAATTTTGGTCTTAACAATTGCTTGACCCTGCAGATAGTGGTGTCTCAACCCTAGCAGTAGAAGTGACGCTTTACAGGAGGTTTTTTCCTAGCTCTGGTTAGTTAAAAGACATTTCGTGCAAGCTTTTCCTGAAGCTTGATCATTTTGTGGGAGTCTGTCCTACGCATTCAATTTGGCTGTAGAAACGCCATTTCTGATTTTCAGTCATCACCATCGAGATCATCACTTCCAATACAAGAGTAAAAAAAATATGGGGAGGGGTAAATAAGCCGGGAGGGCATTCCCTCCTCTGTTTTTGATTCCACTGCCTGTCTTTGTTACGCCATCTTTCCCACTTTGCTTCTCAAGTGAGTTGTGCAGAAGACTTTCCATACCCCTAATAATTATCCTTACTCTGTCCTGGGTTTGTTTGCTTCTTTTTCTATTTATTTTTTCTTTTATTTTTTGGTTAAGTGGTCGCCAGTGTGAGTGTCATGACATGGTGGGCAGCAGATGTGCCATTAATGTTGTATTAGAACCCTTCAATTATTTTTTTTAAATCTCCTCTCTTCCAAGAAACCCCCCAAATTATTTTTCTTTTTTAACAACCTCTAACTGGAGAACACATAATTAAGAAGAGGTTGTATGGAACCGAGTGTGATGCCGTCCTCTTCTCTTCGTGGAAGTGGTACCTTTTTTCCCCTGGAGGTCCAGATCCATATGGCTGTGTATTTGAGCAGTTCATTTTGTGTCATCATTGTTAAATCTATACATTTCTGAGGTGTGTTCCTATTACTGATTTGGGCATACGTTTTTTTAGTGTTGATGTATCGGTGAAATATTGTAAATAAAAAAAAAGAATTCAATAAAATCAGATGTCCAAATTACGATCCCATGGAAGAGACTTGCTGCCTGGAGAAGCATCATGTTGCTGGTGATGCTGGGTGGTTGGTTTATGTGGTGCCCAAGGTCGGATGTGCACGCACGGTGATGGTTCAGCGGCATGGACAGGAGACGTGTGCCGTGCTCGGTGTGATGCTGGAGCCCAAAATCCACCCTCGGGAGGCTTCGGCTTCCCTCTGAGCACGCGCAGGTGGGTACTTGCATGCAAAGGGACCGTGAAAGGGTGATCATCCCCTGACATTAAAAGTTTGAATCTGAAACCATCCCGAGATCTTAAAAGCAGGATTTGCTGGCTTTGACGTCGTTCTAGGGTAACGTTTTTCTCGAGTATTTCTGGGTGGTCTGCACACCGCGGAAGGGCCATGTGGGCTAGATTATACGTATCAGATGGCTTCTGAACACCAAAAGTGTTTTTGGGAAACGAAGAAACTGGATTAAAACTTCTTTGAAGTCTCAACTATCGGTTCTCCACTTAGGAGAAGACACTGCTTGTTTCCAGCCGCAGATGTACGTATTCACCCTAAGTAGATATAAATAACTGTCTAAACACTGTAGGTAGTGTGATGAATTTGGAGCTGTCAGAGGAGAAAAACGAGGCCCCGGTGAAGCATAATTACTGTGGGTAAAAGCTCAACAGTGAAGTGGAGAGAAGAATAATTGAGCACTTCTGTTTCATTAATAACCGGGTCTTTTAGCCCTAATGAATCACAAGCAATATAACCAGAGTTTTTGAGTAAGAGTAGTGCGTCGAACAGGATCATCTTGAGCAGATGCAAACAAGTGTAAGCAAATTAAATCCCCTGTCGCTCATTCCTGGGTTTGTCATTCATTAACATTTTCTTAGCGACTCGTACCCAAAGGCAATTAATTACGGTTTTATGTCAGCTGGGAGTTTTTCCTGGCAGACCCCTGAATTGTTGTGGGGGGTTGTTTTTTTTTTTTTTTTTTTTTTAATACCAAACTGTGTAAATAATGACTTACAGTTTGTTGAGAAAGTGGAAAAACTACAGCTGTTGGCCTTCAGGCCTAACTATTTAATGTGCTTGGCTTTCTTCGTGCCACACAAGGAGTGGTTTACCTTTTGACGTTAACTGCTTACACTTTTAAGGTCTACAGTTACAGAATTACTGTTGTACAAAACAGATAAAACCCTTTTTTGCTTTGAAGAAGTTATGAAAAATGGAATGGTGATTGCCAAAAATAACTTGGATACCTTGTCTGTGAGTAATTTCAATATCGGAGAACTCGCATACAATGTGAACCTTTTAGTGGCATGAACTCGTGATAGAAAGAAAGTGGAAAATGGTTAGTTTTATTAGGGGGAAATCTAGATGAGGCAGTTTCAAGGAAGTCAGCGTGTGTTCAGCGTCCTGCCAGACATCTGGTGCGGAGAATACAGACCGGGGCTCCGGGGAGGGGAGAGGACGCTGGCACAGCCTTGAGCCAGGAGCGTGTTGAGCATCTTCGGGCAGGAAAGTCTCGATACATCGAACTCCGGCAGAGACATTGGAGCGCAGCAGCGACAACGTCCCTGCAGAGAGAAATTCAGAATATTTTCTTCTATCTGTTTCTCTCTGTCCATGCCTCCTGCGGAAAGAAGCAGTGGCAAATAAAGTAATTAAATTAGTTGAGATGGTCAGTGGTAAATATGCATATGTCAGCTGCAGATCACCTTGCTGGAATATTCCTTGGCATATTCACTCCTGTATGAAGGCTGGCAAGGACAGGAACAGAGGGGGGATTTTAATTTAGAGTAAGTAAACGCACAAGCAGTGAAATATGCTTTTTGTCATTAGGTTTTTCCTTGTTTAATGTATCCTTCTCTCCACGTAGCTCCTGTGTTCAGAGCTGGAAGACTGTCATTCCTTTTCCTTCTAGCTCATTCAGAGCATAATTACCATCCATAAAAATAGCAATAATAGCCTAGAGAAGCAGTGTTGTAGAAATCTGCTAGGAGCTGCTAAGAAACCGAAGGAAGTTAGATGGGAGGCTCAGGAACAGAATTGTGAGGCGAAACACTGGTTTTTACAGGTATGCAACTTTGTTTCTGGTAGAACCATGTTACCAAAAGTATTTTTTTTTGGAAACGGTATAAAAATCCCTGAAAGCTGAAATGTTTAATGATTTGGGATTGCATAAATTGTGTCTGCCACAGAAACGTCTTTTGGAGTAATACAAAGCATTCTTCTTGGAATACAGCATATTTTTAATTCAGCAATGCTTATGTTGCAGAGTTATAAAAGCTAAGACTTGATGATCTCAGCCTAAATGATTCTATAATTCCAAATCAAATGGTTAAACAAAATCAGAAATCAAATGATATGCTCCCTAATCTAAAGTGAAACTTCCTTTTTTTAATTTTAAATATACTTTGCTACAAAGAACACCTACACATATTTGTTGTAAATCTGCCAAAGAACTTTTAATCTGAATTTGGGGGTATTTTTTTCCGTGTCTGACTACAAACTGAAAGATCCACTGGTCAGAGTTTTGT